GGCAGCCAAAGGAAGACGCATAAAAAAGACGGGGATTATTTAAGATCGGTGTGGATATAATGTGAATCATCAATAATTCAATGTGGCTGCTGATACTTTTTTTTTTTTTTTTCATGGAAAGAATAGGTAGGGAATATAAGCTTTTTATACTATTCTATAGTGATATTAATGCCCCCTACAGTGCAGAAACATGCAAATGATTGTGCCTCAATAATGTAATTGGATCAATCAAATGAGCAAACTTCGTTATTTAATAACCAAGACTTGACTCTGCTATTCCAAACAGTATAAACCAAAATGGAACAGAGAGCAATCACGTGGAACACTATTCATCAAAATCAGATCAAAAAGTTTCCTAATGACATGGGGCACACACGCACACTAGTGACCATTATTACATGTTCTCTTCTCACAATTCACCTCTATTCTGTGCCACACACTCCTATGCCGCTTGTTCCGAAACAAATATCAAACGAGTTAATCAGAATGATGACAACCAGAAGAAACTGGAGGATTAATATAGATTTCATCAGCTAATGAATTAATTGGAGCATTAATTATTGTTAATAATCATATCCAAGTCTCTCTTATCAGCAATTCTAGGCCTCATGTTGAACTTTGAAGTAATCCTTATACTTGATCCTCTTTATACACTGCCTTTTCCTTCTCTCCAGAAACTCATTTGCAGGACCTGTTTCGCTCTCAAAGCCAGTTTATAAGACCATCAAAGTGCAATGACTACTTTAACGTTCAATAAGTTTGTGTTGATAACGGAGGCTTGGCAGTATTAGTTCTGAAATTTCCAAACAGCCCATGAGCACATGCGCTCATGAAATTACCAAAACAACCCTCCCTCTATTGCTGACCGTTGATGTCGAGTTATTGTCGAAGATGACGATTCAGCCGTGGTTCTCCTTCATCCATCATAGGTGGCACCATTAATTATCGTCATGTGATCGACACTGTCGGGTCATTATTCTATTAATATAAGTCAACATGAGGACTTTTACAATCACTACTTAAAAGGATAGTCCATGGAGAAAGAAACAGACATAAGTACACACAGATATTCTGATAAACCATTATTACAAAGAACATTAATTAGAAGGAAACATTGGAGCTCCTAGCCAAGCGTAACTGCAGCAAAGCATCCTAGCTATTCCCTGAAGCAGAATATGAGACTCGAGTTTGAGACAAAGGCATTGGACTATATAGATCAGATCTGCCTTCAAAGAGGCTGCACCCACTGCCTCATCTGCTGCTCTTGCGTCCCGTAGACAAAGCATGCTGAATAATATACGACATAAGAAAAAACCAGTAAAGAACTAAATTTGTTTAACTAAAAGAAGAAAAAAGAAGAAAAACTTTCATGCAAATAAAGGAGAGATACGACTTTTTTTTGAAATATATGATAGTTAATCCATTACCTCAATGGCAACTTAATTTGTTCCAAATACTAGACCGAAATGTTTAAGCATGAGGGCCACGTTGACATAAAGTTGATCAACCACACTGTCAAATAATCGGAAAAATCTATGTCTCCATGCTCTAATCTAATGAGAAAGAGAGAACCACAAGCTCCCCAAAAGCCTGCTACGAATCCAACTCCCATTCCAAGATACAATGACTCGAGAAAGACATCGTCTTCATTTTCTTCAGCCCGCTTCAAGTTGTGAACTTCTTCCTTGTTACACTTATCTGGAAGAGGGTCTCCACAAAGTTAAAGATTGCCAACAAAACACCAAGAATCGAAACTCTGAATGAGTCCCTAAAGGATTTGTCCAGTGAAATTGTTGTATGAGAGGCTCAAGTAAGCAGGAAAAGATATATTAGAGATGGTTGAAGGAATTTCTCCATAAAGTCTATTGTGGCTGAGATCAAGAGATTCCAAGTTTTTCATACCTCCAATTTCTTTGGGAATCTTTGCACTCAAATGGTTTAAGACAAGTTTAAGGACTGCATTTGATCATACTAAACAGTTCCATAGGAATTTCTCTAGACAAATTGTTAGAGGAAAGATCGATTATTCACAAAAGCAAAATGTCAGCATAATCTGCTTCTCTTCCGTTTCTGCCCACAAAAACTGATGAGTTGAATCCACGATGTTATATAGGCAATGAGGTATGGATCCAAAAAGCTTGTTATCATTGAGATCTAGTATAATAAGAGAAGTGAGATTGCACAATTGTAATGGAATCTCGCCAATATATGGGTTGGCCCTCAACTTGAAAACTACCACACGTGGAGGCATTGTAGTTGGCAAGGTTCCAGAGAATTCCTTTCCCTCCAAAAGACGGTATTGCAAATTTGTCTAATCTGATATGTCTAATGAAAATTAGCCAAAGAAATTGTTATCAGGTAAATCCAATATCCAAGGATTCAATGAGGCCATGGAAGCAGGAACTTTACCCTCGAGCTCATTACCCCTCAAATTAAGGTATTCTAATCGTTTCCGATTAACCCAACAGTCAGGAATTACTCCACTTGAATGACTATGTGATAAGTCCAAATAAGACAGTATGCTTTCTTGTCACTGTCTAGTTGGCACAATCACAAGAAAATAGAGCCTGACAAAGAATTGTGAGATACATCAAAGTAAGAGATATTTGTTGACAGTGTGACATTGGATATGTCATCACTAATCATGTTGTTTGACAAATCAACATAATGAATTCCTGCTACAAAGCTCCAAAATACATCAGCATCAATTATTGAAATTCCTCATTTAGAAATGTCTGATATTCTAGAGACTACTGTGTATATAGCCATGTTAGAATATTCGGCCCCTATTTGTGTTACTCAAATTCAAATGCGCAAGTCGGAATGGTGGGACCTATTTAGGATCAAAGTTAAATTTGAAACCACTTGAACTCAAGTCTAACCATGTCAATTTTGAGAGTCTGGTAAAATTTCTTTTTGAAATAACTCCCACTTGATGATTGCCACCAATGCCGAAAGATTCTAAGTTATGGAGCTCTCCAAGGTTTTTGGGAAGATTTCCACTGAAATGATTATGGGACAAATCTAAGGAAATCAAGGAAGAAATATTTCCAAGACATGATGGAATAGAGCCGTTGAACAAATTACCATAGATTTCAAAATACTGCATCTGTTCATGTCGGCAAAACCAATCAGGAATTGAACCTCTAAGGTTGTTAAAGCTCAGCCTTAAACTTTTAAGATTTGGAAGCTTCAACAGGTTCTTTGGTACTTGACCATAGAAATCGTTGTCACAAAGATCAAGATGAGATAGTTTTTGGGTGAAATCAAAGAGTGAACTATGTAATTCTGAGTTGAGTATGTAGTGAGAAAGATCAAGAGTTACCAATGATGTAAAATTGACGTAGTTGAGGGATGGAAAATGTCTCAAGTCATAACTGCTCAGGTGTAACTCAAAAAGTGAAAGCATCAAGGAGATATATTGGAGCCTGTTGGTTTCATTTCCAACATTAGAGTAACTGAGGTCCAAATATTTTAAGAAAGAAAGTTGAGAAATCCAATGAGGATCATTTATTCGCAAATGATAATTATGTGAACAATCTAGGTGAAGCAGAGGAGAAGATTTGGAGACTTGGCGTTGCGGAATACTCACAGATTTAAATCGATTATGGCTCAAGTCCAAGTGAATGAGAAGTGATCAAGCTCTGCAACTCTGCCATTGATATCACACAGAACTCCAGACCACAAACAACAATCTTCATGACTAGTCCATGAAGAGAGTTTGTTTAAAGGATCCACCACTTCTTGTTTGAAGATCAGGAGTGGTCCTCGATCATTCTCGTTGCAACAATCACATTGTTTGTTTTACATATGCCTCTATCGAACGTTATTGCAAGCAAAAGAAACAAGAAAACAAATGAAGTTTTTGAAGTGCAGCTGACCATCATGTGTCTGCTTGTTAACTACAAAATTAATTACTTTACCCCAAAAAAAATGCACTGTTATTCAACATTGTTTAATAGTGGGACTGATTATAATGCTTATATTATTAGTTTCGGTCCTAAATATAAACCTCATATATTTAAAATAGAAGGTAGTATTTTATATTTATATTAATGCTGTGCTGTCCCACCAATCATTTTGCCTCAATAATGTCAATTAGAGGAACCAAGCAACAGTTTTACCAATAAATTTTTTTGCCGGACAGTTTTACAAATAATATCCCATATAATCTTATTATTACGTATAATTTTGTTACTCGTTTCTTGCTATAGCAGCATTTTTTTGAAAAAAACACTGAACAAACCAAGATAGATGTCACACTCACAATTCAAAAGATAAGGTGTGACCGGCTGAAATATGAGAAGACCATATTCTTTAGGCCTGATATGAATAAACTTCTTGATTCGTATATCTAGACTGACTTACAATACAAAATATAAAGTCTTGGAAAATATTTCATAAAATAAAGTCACCAGCTTTTTGTAGAAATTTTGACAAAATCTCCCTTGTAAATGGGATTTCTCGAAAATTCTACAAATCAAAATAGAGAATGGCTAAGTCCAAAAACTAATTAATACAACAGTTGACTGTTATTTCATACAGGATAACCCAAAATGAAACAGAGCATCTCTAGTATGTGGAATAGAGTAATCACATGAAACACTATTTATCAAAAGTTTCTTAATATGAAACACTATTACAACATGTTCCATTCTTACAATTCATTATATTTAAGATAACAAAAGGACATTGATCAATAGGCAACATCTGAGTCCTTGAACATGCGTAACAGCAGCAAAACTCCTTATTCCTTGAAGCAAAACTCAATATTTGAATGAGAGGAGCGATCAGAGTAGTGATAGCTATTTCACTTGCATCCCATATTGAAAAATAAACGAGATAAAACATAATCAGCTAAGAACAAAAATTTTTAGCAAGTAGAAGAAGATATAAGCAAAAGAAAAGTAAAACCTAATCTGAATGACAACAATATAATACTTGAAAAATTAAGGCAGCTAGTTTAATTTATTACCTCAAGGGAAACTTGTTATAGATATTCAACCAAAGCTTTTTAAATAGAGGGCCAAGGCAACATAAAGTTGATCTGCCAAGTGACCAATCCATCGGAAAAATTTGTGCCTCCATGCTCTAACCAGGAAGAGAGAACCACAAACTCCCCAAAAGCCCACTGCAAATCCAACCCCCATACCAAGATACAATGACTTTAGAAAGCTGTCATCTTCATCTTCTTCAGCTAGCTTTGAGCCATGAGTTTCTTCCTTTTTGTTACACTTCTTTGGCAGAGGATCTCCACAAAGTTCGGGATTGCCAAGAAAACTCCAAGAATCAAAACTTTGAATTTGGGTTCCCGATGGAATTTGTCCGATGAAATTGTTGTATGAGAGGTTCAAATAAGCAAGAAATGACACATTAGAGATGGTTGAAGGAATTTCTCCGAGAAGTTTATTGTAGCTGAGATCAAGAGATTCTAAGTTTTTCATGCCTCCAATTTCTTTGGGAATTTTTCCAGTCAAATAGTTTCGAGACAAGTTCAAGGATAATATTTTACTCATACTAACCAGTTCTTCAGGAATTTCTCCAGACAAGCTATTAGCAGAAAGATCAACAATGCCTTGTTCAAAACTTAGAAAACTATCAACTTGATAGTCTAATTTTTTTTCCTTTAGTAGATATGTGCACTATTTCATCAGACGCATCTATCATATAAGTTGAATCTGCGATGTTGTGTAGGCAGTGAGGTATGGATCCAGAAAGCTTATTTTCAGCAAGATCGAGTATATTCAAATAAGAAAATTTGCACAAGATTGTTGGAATATTGCCACTAAATTGATTGGTCCTCAATTTAATAACTACCAAATGCTCCGCCATGGGAATTGGCAAACTTCCAGAAAACTTATTTCGCTCTAAAAGCAAGTATTCCAAATTTGTCCAAGTTAGATTGTCTAATGAAAATTTTCCAAAGAAACCATTGTCACTTAAATCCAACATTTCAAGATTCAATGAAGTCAAGGAGGGAGGGACTTTACCTGTTAGCTTGTTACTCCCCAAACTAAGGTATCTTAATTTTTTCCAATTGCCCCAGCAATCAGGAAGTGTTCCACTCAAATTATTATATGATAAATCCAACACCTCCAAGTTTTCACTCTCTTGATGGCACAATAATGAGAAAATAGATCCTGACAAAGAGTTGTAAGATGCACCAAAGTGGGAGATATTTGCTGATAGTATGATCTTGGATATGTTATGACCACCAATCAAGTTTTTTGAAATATCAACACTATCAATTCTTGATATAAAGCTCCAAAACACATCTGCATCAATGTTTGAAATTCCTGATGCGGAAATATCCAAACAACGTAAAGACTGCTGTGTATATAGCCATGGTGGAATATTAGGACCTATGCTTGTGTTACTCACCTGCAATGTCTCAAGTTGAAATGGTGGGACCCATTTAGGATCAAAGTGAAGTTTGAAACTTGTTGAACTTAAGTCCAAATATGTTAAACTTGAAAGATTGGCCAAGTTCTTTTCAGAAAGATCGCCATTCAATTGATTGTGGGACAAGTCTAACATGGACAAGGAAGAAATATTTCCAAGAGATGATGGAATTACGCCATGGAACAAATTCTGACTGATACCCAACCATTGCAACTGTTCATATTGGCCAAACCAATATGGAATTGATCCTTCAAGATTATTAGAACTAAAATCTAAAAGCTTGAGGTTCTGAAGATTGAACAAGGACTTTGGTAATTGGCCATGGAAATTGCAACCCCTAAGGTCAAGATGGTAGATGTGATGGGTGATATTAAACAATGAATCAGGTAACTTCACCATATGATTAAAAGAAAGAACAAGAACTGTAAGTGACGTAAAATTGACATAATCACCAGACGGAAAATTTGTGAGTCCACAAGACATCAAGTTTAACTCAGAGAGTGAAGGAAGCATGGCTATATGCTGGAGCCATTTGGTATCATTTCCTATATCAACATAACTTAGGTCAAGATATTTTATGGAAGAAAGTTGAGAAAGCCAATGAAGGTCATTTATGAATAAGTCATCATTATCTGAAATGTCAAGATAACGAAGAGCAACAGAGAAACTTGCTGAGTGATTGGAAAGAGCAGCGAGTGATTGGTTGTGAAATTTGTGAGCATCAAAGAGAGATTTGGAGATTTGGCATGGTGGCATACTCACAGTTTTGAAGTCATTTTTGCTCAAGTCCAAGCTGTTGAGAAATTCAAGTTGAAGCACACACAGATTAATGTCACCTCCTAATGTGTAAGTGGTGGAAAGAGAAAGCTCTGTGACTCTTCCGGTGATGTTGTCGCAGTGAACTCCCTCCCATAAACAGCAATCTTCTTCAACTGTCCAAGAAGAGAGTTTGTTGTCTGGATCAACCACTCCTTGTTTGAAGATTAAAAGTAGCCTTTTGTCATTTTCATTGCAACGCATCAACCTGTTTGACATAGCCATCTTTCTGTTGAATGTTGTTGCAAATAGCAGAAACAACAAAACAAAAGAAATTCGTGAAGCGATGCTGGCCATTGTGGTAAGTTTGAGTATAATGGCCTAATGAAGCCTTTACATGATATATATGTGTGTATATATACTGGAAAATCTGAAGTAAACAAAAGTTTAAATGCTTAAAAATTTATAACCACATGATATTCATTGTGAAGGCCGATAGCTAGTGATTTGTTTTTTTATTTTAAAAATGCTTGCAAAGAAAACAAATCGCACCACGAATGGCATGGAGTTTAATTATTACAATGTTTTTATTATTTATTGAAGGAGCATATATACAGACACATATTGAAGTGAAAGTGAATTCATTTTGTTTATTTTTCTTGTAACCACTTCTTTTAGATGGTCTTAGCTCTTCTAATACTTCCAAGTCTTTCCATCTTTTCAAAGAAAAGTTGAAACATTAATAAATTCATTTTAACAACTCATCTTCTTTTTAAATTTCCACAGTCAAATCATTTGAATGCTTCAAAAAGTAAAAGTTTCTTAAACAACAAGTTAAACATTTTATTTTTCCATGACATATAATACAACCATTCACTGAAGGTTAGACTTTTTATGTTCAGTTCATATTAACAACATCAGGGACAAGGTGTTACAGGGATACGACGCACGATCATATAAATCTTGAAATTCAATAGTTTGGGGGGATTTTTTTTATTTCAAAACAAGAATGTTTGCAAGTTATTCAAACGTAAATCAACGATTTATTCATTGAAATAAAAATAATTATTTTTTGTTTTTACTTTAGCTAGGAAATGAAAAAATTAATCAATTTTGTATATAATCTTTTAGTGCGGCCTAAAAATTAAGTTTAATTGATATACTTTTTCAAAGAAAAATTGCACATAACTTTCGAAAATAACAAAGTCGGGATATGTAGAAGTAGACATGCTCTCCCAAAATGGAGGGGAAAACGCAACGAAAGAGTTGCTATCAGCAAGAATGACGTCCACTGTAGAAAATAAGAACTTTTTTTTTAAAAAAAAATTATAGTTACGTATGTAATGGACAGTTTTAATTTATTTTCTTTAAACAAATTCTGAAGGTAGGGAAGAATAACATAGGAAGATTGATTGGTAGCAATTTAGTATTTTTAAATTTATATTTTAATTTAGTTTTTGTAAATAATTATAATTTTTATGGTCATTCTCAAGAAATGTTATGCTCTCTTTTATAACAATAAATATTATGCTCTATAGGTGATTCGTTTTAATTTTCTAAATGAACAATTCATTGGGGAAAAAGAGAAGGAAAGTAAATTACACGCTGATGGGGAAAAAAAAAAAATTCATTATCTTGGTGGGATGGTATACGATGACTTCCGCTTTGTGCTGCGACCAAATATTAAGGGTATCTTTAATAGCAAAATCCTACACCTAAACTTATTGAAAAAATTGCCCCATTCATGACGCTTGTAAAGTCTTTGTCCCAAGCTATACTCAATTTCAATCTTTCTACTCATTAATGGAACCCACCATAAGCCTTCCATTCTTATCATCTCTTTCAGTTTCCTTTGGTAAAAGAGATTCTCACCTCTAGTTAAATTGGTACTGGTGCAATTTACCAGTTAAAACACAGATGCTCAATGATAATAACGGAAATCGAAAGGAAGGAAAGTAATGTAATATACTGTGGCAGTAATTGAAACAACAGATTCTTGAAGTCCATCGCCAATTCATCATAGCTCACTGGAGCAACTTTGGAAAATATTTGATGTATAGTGATGAACGACACATTTTAATTATTTTATGATGATTTTTCTATCATGCACGTAACCAAATGTCTCTTATTATAAAGGCCTGTCGGCGAAACTTGTCTGGGATATTTTTTTCAGAGAAAAAAAATCATTCACACCTTTTGAAAGAGGCACTAAATCAAAATTCTGCACAACTAATTCTTTTTTGGCCAAGTGCCCAATTCAAAATTCTACTTTGTTGTGTGATTTTCTCTTCTGCGGTGAGGCCATCATTTATACTTCTGTAGGCTGTAGAACAAGAGAGGGCCTTTCAGCGCCCATGTATGTTGGTTCTTGATGCTTTCACACCAAACAGAAAAGAGGGAAAAATCAAGGAGATCACCAAAAAAATAGTCTCTCTCAACATGACAAACTAAAATTTAAATATATGAAAAAAGTACTCATATTTAGTACCTAATAATTTTTTAATAAGAAGATAATTATGCGTAGCAAAAAAAAACAAGAAGAGAAAAAGGGTTAATATGTGAGTAAATTAAAGAAATTTTGAAGGGAAAAAACTATCGTCCAACGGGTTGTGTCTTAGGAAGGCAATGTTAAGTTGCTTCATTGGTAACGCCGGAGGTCCAAGGGTTGTCCAAGGCTCCAAGCATACAAAAACCTTGAAAGCCTCAAAGACAAAACGTCCTCGTTTCATTGAAAGAGACTCAAATTGTATTAGATTTCCAGATTTAAACTTACCTCTTCTATAAATGATTTATGAAACCCGATAACCGTTGTCAAGGGGGGAAAAGGAGAAGTAGATAAATAGCAAAAGACGTACATATTTTTTGTTGGGTCCTTCGGTATCAACACAGTATTCATTCATATAGTATCAAAATTATATCATAGCCTGCACCATATGATATAAACAAGAAAAAGAACTGCTGTGTTCTTAACATGAGAATAACATGACTCGCTAAGTTGCTATAAATTATATATCATATGTTGATCTCTGAAGCAAGCAAAAGTTTAAATGCCTTGAAAAATTGATAACCACACATGATTTTTCTTATTGTCAAGTCTACTAATAATATTCCAAATCTTCCCCTCTTTTCAATAGAAATCATGTCACGAATGCATCCGACGTACTCCAATTACTCCACATCATGTTTACTTATTTTCTTATCCTTTTCAATTTCCAAAACCAAATTGAATTACTGTATATTTTTAACTACATCTTTTTTAAAATATTATGAATAAGAAAATACCACAGATATAATATAATATATTATACATTTAGATCCTTTTAAAGTTAGTAGGTGGTTGGTAAAAGCTGGAAACAATTATGTATGAAAATATTATTGAAGGCCTATAGCTAAGTGATTTTTTTTATTTTAAAAATGTTTGAAAACATAACAAATCCTATATATGGGCCCCATGAATGGCATGGTGAGCTTAAAGAATAATCAACACTATTTTATGAATCATAAATAAAATAAATTATTATAAATTTATATTTTATATTATTGTAAATTATACAAGGAATATACAAAGACATCACACGTACTCACGTATTGAAATCAAAGTGAATTAATTTTATTTATTTTTGTTTTAGTCCAGAAATGAATAAATTAATTCAGATCATTGAAACTTGAATAAATATTTGTGGTCTGAATTTTGATTTGTATGCATAAGGAATTGGACAAAATTTTACTGACCCGAAAATAATAAACCCTATATACGATTTCTTATCAAATTGAATATAACCCAAAAAAAATTATTGCTAATTGCTTCTTTCCTTTCCTATTCACATGCCTTCCAAATACAAGTGAGTGGATAAATATATGTGAGAGTGTGTGTCTATAACAAAATCAAATACTTACCCTTAAAATTTACTATACATTCAGGCTTTTATAGATTCAAAGGAAAATTGATTTTATATACAAAATATTTAACTGATATATAAATTTAATTATTTATGTTTTCTTCAACTCTACTCAATTCGAATACATTTTACACACACACACATATAATATAGGTTGGCAGAAACAAGTTGTAATTTGAAATAACAAAACAAATGAAAATTTCAAAATGAAAACGTCATCACGATTTATTTGAGGAGAAATCAAGTCTTTATTATTTAGATTACATGGTCACGATGTACATAAGTTGCGAAAAATGAAAATCATCGTTGGCAAATAAAAAAAATGAAAATCATTACAAATAAAGTGTTTACTAGAAAATATTGGAAAAACAAAAAGTACACAAACATTTAAATATCTAAAAAATCTATAACCATATATTTTTTTTTAGTCAAGTCTTCTAATACTTCCAAGTCTTCCCATCATTTTAGAGGAAAAATAGGAATATTAATGCATTCATTTTCATATCATTTTCCATTGCACAAGCATTTAAATGTCTAAAAAATATATGACCATATTTTTTTTTAATGGTCAAGTCTTCTAATACTTCCAAGTCTTCCCATCTTTTAGAGGAAAATTTGGAATATTAATGCATTCATTTTCATATCATTTTCCATTACACTAACATTTAAATGTCTAAGAAATCTATAACCATATTTTTTTTATGGTCAAGTCTTCCAATACTTCCAAGTCTCCCTATCTTCTAGAGGAAAAATTGGAATATTAATGCATTCATTTTCATACCATTTTCCATTCTTATCTTCTTTTCCAATTTCTACAACCAAATTGTAAGGAATAAATCAGAGGATTTTTTCCCCCTTCAATTAGATGTTTTCTGGGAATGCAATTTTAAATTAAGAAAAATATCCCATACATTATCATATAGACCTTCTATGTTCAGCTCATATTATAACATCAATTATATATCATGCGTTGATCTCTGTAGCAAGCAAAAATTTAAATGCCTTGAAAAATTGATAGCCACACATGATATTTCTTATTGTCAAGTCTCCTACTAATATTTACAAATCTTCCCGTCTTTTCAATGGAAATCGTGTCATGAATCCAATTTCTCCACATCATGTTACCTGCCTTATATTCTTATCTTTTCAATTTCCAAAACCAAGTTGAATTAGTACCGAATCTTTTTAACTACATCTTTTCGTTTAACATTGTGAATAAGAAAATACCACAGATATAATCTGTTGTTTGCTTAAATCCTTTTAAATTTGGTACTTGTTAGGGAAAAACTGGAAGCAATTACGTATAAAAATATAGAAGGCCAATTGCTCAGTGATTTCTTTATTTTAAAAATGTTTTCGCAAACAAAACAAATCCTATGCAATGAC